GCTCTATGCTTAATGTGGAGCCTGACATGGCTTGATCTCAAGAAACATGAGATCATGACCTGAGCTGAATCAAGAGTCAGACACTTAACCGACTGAGTCACCCAGGTGCTCCAAACCTGCCTATATTTTTAATAAATTGCTTGATATATGTTCCCAGTGACCAAGGTATACTAGAAAAACAAGAGGAGTATGAGATAAATACACAGATTTGAATTTTTGCTTGGCCACATAATCACCTATGTCAAACTTCAGTTTTCTTTTCATTTTTCAAAACATAATACTATCTTAAATGGCAGTTGTAAGGGATGAGATAACAGACATGAAAGTATTTAATAAACTACAGAGCCCTTAACAGATAATGGGCATAATGACATTACTTATGTTTTTAAGTGCTGACCTTTTCATGATTTTGTTTAGTTGGGAAAGCTGTCTTGATTGAACAATGATCAAAATGGGGCAAATGAGGGGCACCTCGGTGGCTCAGGTGGTTAAGCGTCTGACTCTGGATTTCGGTTCAGGGCATGTTCTCATGGTTTGTGAGTTCGAGCCCCAAGGTGGGCTCCAAGCTGGCAGTGCAAAGCCTGCTTGGGATTCTCTGTCTCGTTCTCTCTCTGCCCCTCCCCTGCTCACTCACTCTCTCTTAAAATAAAGAAATACATGTTTAAAAAATGGGACAATGATATCTACAAGGACAAGCAGGCATGCAAGTTTAGGCTTAAGTGTACAAAATTATGGATATGGAATACCCTTGCAAATTATTTGTTTCATAACTTTAATGAGACCTACTAATGAGAAAAAAAAATAAGCAACAGTCATTCAAGAATCTCTTCATGTATTTTTTCTATCAAGAGATTGGTGCTCAAAGGCAGTCAGCAACTTACAACAGAATATAATGACAAGTTCTTTTAAAAACCTCTCAATAAATGGAGCACCTGGGTGGCTCAGTCTGTGAAGGGTCTGACTTTGGCTCAGGTCGTGATCTTGCGGTCTGTTCAGTTCGAGCCCCTCATCGGGCTCTGTGCTGACAGCTCAGAGCCTGGAGCCTGATTCAGATTCTGTGTCTCTCCTTCTCTCTGTCCCTCCCCAGTTCTCACTCTGCCTCTCTCTCTCTCCCTCTCTCTCTCTCTCTCTCTCTCTCTCTCTCACACACACACACACACAAAGTAAAAATAAACATTAAAAAAAAAGAATCTCTCAATAAAGATTTACTGATGACAAACATTTTATTATATACCACGTACTGTGTCTAGATATTATGAATATAAGGATAAATTCTCTTGTTTTTATCCTGAGGAAAACTACTCCCAGTCTCAGTGAGAACAAAGAGAAAAAGCAGAATAAGTATATTTTTGCAGGATAGATCTTACCATAAATTTAGGCTAAAAAGGAAGTTCTGCATTTTACCTATGTATTTATTAACATGTTTACATTAAACCTGATTTACTGTTAACTTGTGAAAAATCCTCACTTTCTTGAATGGTATTAATGTTCCTAGGAAGAACTCCAATATTTTTCCTTCAATACTACTTTTAGCCTATGAAATTTAAGTGAAAACTGAAAAAAAAAAAAAAAAAAAAAAAAAAAAAAAAAAGACAAGAAAAAGTACTATGCAAGCACACTGAACCTCACTTCAGAAGTGGGGGGTGTGTGTGAAGTTGTACCATGTGCACATCTCAGTACAGCAGTGGGGAAACATGAGACCCTTTTAGGGCCTTGAGTACCTGGCTCTTCTCCTCGTACTCGTTGATTCTGAACAATCTCCAGAAGCTGTCGGGCTGCTTGGTTTACACTCATATACCGAGGAGGTTCATAGATCTTCCTTCCCCTGTAAATATAAAACTAGATGCCACTGTCCTCAGCCATGAAATTACATAACACATTTTTAATGCAGTTATTCCCCCAGGAATCCTCAGGTACCACAGTCTACATGGTTTGAAGCATTCACACATTACCCATTTAAGTATACACTAAAACATGAATACCATAATTGTTTAAGTTTAAGCTTTTTTCATTGTTCTACTTCAAGTGTCCTCTGATCTCCCCGAAATGCTGGCAGAAATAAAAGTCCAACAACTTAATGACAAATGTCTAAATCAAAGTTACTTTTATTTAAAGTGATAACCCAGGCAAAAACAGTTCAAATTAAGCAGCAATTTGTTCTAGATCCTGGCTTAACCAGGTTCTATCGTGTTCATTTTTATTACCATGTTTAAACCACATATTCCTCTTTTCACTTCTTCCTCTAAGAAAAGTAAACTAAAGTGGTAAATATCTAAAAATCTTGGAGGGTCAGATATGTTTACTTCTGATACCTCAAAGCCTACCACATCTGCCCATGATCATAATAAAAATACTGTTTTCATAGCTTACAAAACAGTTCATACAGATTATCTTACTGACTCCCCAAAAAATCCTCAAAGTCAGCACTGTCCAAGAGAAATATGATGCAAACCACAGAGTTTTAAATTTTCTAGTAGTCATATTAACAAAAGTAAAAAAAAAAAAAGGCAAAATTAATTTTAACAATACTATTTTACCCACTATATCCACAATGTTGTATTTCAACATTTACTCCTATAAAAAGTATTAAAGAGATTATTTTTGTACTAAGTTTTTGACATCTGCTATTTCATACTTATAGCATTAATTCAAGTGTTAAATTTTCATTGGAAATACTTAATCTGTATTTAAATTTCATAAAATTCATGGTTGCAAAATATTTACACAGTGAAGTTACTCCAAATATACTTTTCTAATAACTAAGTTGAGTATTTTTATTAATTAAAATTAAATTATGAAGGCAGTTCCTCAATTACATTAGCCATTTTTCAAGCGCTCATTAATTATATGTGGGTAGTAGCTACTGTACTGCACATTGCCTCGATAAGCAAAAGAAGGATTTTAGCACTCATCACACATAGGAGGCAGACTTGGAAACCAAAGTAGCTTGCCTAAGAGCACATAACCAGAGGCAGACTCAGGACTCAAATCCACGTCTTCTTCTGACCACCAATTCATTAATTCACACCACAGATATTTACAGAGTGCCTATTAGGTGTCAACTACTGTCACGGTCCTGAATCCATGAGATCTATTGCTGTTTCCACTCCATCACACTGCTTTTCACGTCATAAGGTGAGGTGATTAATTTTTACCAGTTAAGGAAAGCTAATTTTCAACAATCTTTAGAACCCATGTCCTTTAAGTAGAATTTATTGTATAAGGAATTAGAAACAGACATAAGCATTCTCAGAATAAGAACTTACTTGATTAGATTTTCCAAAGACTGCTCCTTTACTTTGATGTCTGTAGGAAGTGAAAAATAGTTCTCTTTTAATTAACTACTTTATCCAAAACCCCGTGTGTCAACTTCGGTAGAGTCATTTAAATTTGGGGGAAGCGTTTTTGTCAAGTCTCCAAAATATTAACTTCAGAGCTCATGTCATTCTTCCGCCACACTTGTATCCATCTACTTTTTTATAGAAATATACAGAAGAATGGAAGCTTGTGGTGTGTAAAGGTCATTAGTTAGAAAACAAACATGAGGTTGGCCCTAAGACCATCCTGAAAGGATCTAATTTCCTCTTGGAAAAGAAGACACAGGAAAGAGTTAGATAAATATTGGCATATACACTACCTAACAGCTAATCCAAATCTTTGTGTTCATTTCTACTAGCTGGTAAGTGCACAGACCCAACTGAGAAGTCTTCTTATGTTCCTATTCTTAACCTATTTTTCAGGCACTAGAACGTAAGCTTTAATGCATGTAATGTAACAGAAGAAAACTTTCACCACATTTTGAAAAGAAACCTTTGCTCTCTTGTGAATGGTTAAGACGTGTCTAATAACTTGTAAATAAACCCTTTAATACCCAATATTCATAAACAGCGCTTTCCCAAGCACTGACTGCCAGGTATGGGGCTACCACAGAGGCCAGAACACACATAATCTCTGCTCTCATGAAGCCTGAAATGCAAGTGTCACAAATCCTTGATTCTTTTTACTTCTTAATCACTGATGCTCAGCCACACAGTTTGGTAAAAGGTAAAAAAGCACAATCACTCCACATCCTCACAGGAACTCAGTATACAACAGCAAGAGCAACAGCTGCTTCCTGTTCTACATGCTAAAAACAAATGGTTCAGCCAAAGTCTGCTTTTGCAAAAATAAATACACTGCAACTGAAGGGTCTTTTTGTTGGATTTCTACAGCTTTCCTAAGTGATTATCAAAGTTTTTCTTATGAAGGAGACTAAAGAGTTTCCTAGGAAAATACAGCAGAGGTTAAGCCCTTGTAAGTATTTGTAAATGTTCTTGGAACCAGTGGTGAATGTACCTTTCAGGTTCGAAATATCATTATTTAATTTTTCCACTTGTCTAGCACATATAAGAAAAAATGCATATCAGTTATTGAAAATGGCCTGCAATACAATTAACAGACTTAGACTTCCTTTATATGGTACCTGCAAGATTTTTAAAAATTCAACACATTCATTTAGTTCATTCACCTTGAGGTTCTGAAATGTTGTGAGTTTTTAGTATTTTAACTTTTTAAATGATCTGCTCTATAGAACCTGGTTTTAAGTATGAAGAGGGCTGGGGAGAATTTTTACAGGCAAATGCTTTTTGATTGAACATAAGACTACATTATGAAATATTTAATATCAAGCCAGACCAGTCTTAATACTTCTCCCTTGTCTTCACACAGGCCAGAATTATTCGTTTCTACTTCTACTTGCTAAAGGTAAGCGTCTCCTTTTCACTTTAGTGCCAGCACCCTGCATAATGCAAAGTACCCAATAGATATTCCATAAAAGTCTACTGAATCAATTTATTCATGTGGCTCTACTACTACCCACACACCAGCCTATCTTAACCTACCCCTGAAGTAACATAAGTCCCAACTCCTTCATAAAGCCTATGTTAACTTCCCCTCAAAAGCTCTTTGTTCTTTGAAATATCTATATAGTTATTACTATATTTTGTTAATCTTTAATTACATCATATATATCTGGTCTTTTCAAGTAAATTTTAAATTCTCTGTAGTATCCTAACATGGTATATTCTCACTAATCCCTACAGGGTCTGGACCACAGCAGGCATTCAATAAATATATACTAATTTAAATGATGAGCATTCCAGATGATTAAATGATGAGATGTACGGTTTGAGGATTTGAAATCATATCTTATACTTCACACCTTGTTCCTGTTTTTGTTAATGGAGCAAGGAAGATATATTGTTTAGCCTTGTTTGTCTTTTCCCAGGAAAGCCAAGAAAAGGGGGAAGCTCTTAGAAAGAGAAATCGAGAGCCAAAGTTCTGGTTTGTCCTTCCTGCCTCTTCATACAACAGAACTTAATTGTTCTTTAAACTTTTGTGTACATAGCAACTAAATTTCAAAACCCTGAGGGCAGGACACATGTCTAATACTTCCTTAGTATTCCAAAAAACCCTAACTCTACAATGGGCATAAAGTACAGCATGATATAGTAAAAAGCTGTGAATAACAGGTTATCTGGATTCCACCAATTCCACCACTGATAAACTGGGTGACACAGTGGGAAAATGATTAAATATCTCTGGGCCTCAACTTCATCTGTAAAATGGGCTTCAATAACACGATCTTCAGAGTCTCTCTCAGATCTGTAATTCTGTGATTCTGATATCAATACTGTGGTATTCAAAAAACATCTCTAGGAAGACAAAGGATGGCACTTGGTAAGAATAAATGCTTAATACAGGTCTGCTGAATTGCAGTAAACTGACAAGAACAGGGTTTTGATGGATAAACGGGTAAGATGATAGAATGCTGGAGTGGATTCATGAGGGCATAAGAAGGGAGTAGCACAAATTATGGTATACACAAGGGAATAGCCAGGTAGTATTTGGAGCAGAAAATGCGTTATCTCCCTGAGAGTAAGGGAAGTATGTGGCACACAGAGCAGCTAGACCAGGTCGTTCCTTAACCTCTAGCTAGTTATGCACAGAACAGCTTTACCTGAACACAAAATCAAAATGAGAATAATACGATGACTCCATATTGTGACTTTAAGGAAACTCCAAAGCCCTCACCTAGTAAGCATAACGTGTGCATGCCGTTTTGTCTGTTCTTCTTTACTTTGTCAAAGAAGCTTTCTGGTCTCCAAGTGTCTGTCCAAAAAACAATAGATACCGTCTCTCCAAACTTATACAACTAGAAAAAGTAAAAACATTAATTAATGATAGAACAATTCACTGCTTACTCTTTCAAAGTTAACAACCAAAACATAAAGTGAGACCCAGACTTGAGATGAGTGGGGGATCAAATCTCTCACAAAATACATGTTCTCTTTGGTCCACAGCAGCTGGTGTCTCTCTGATGCCCTTTACAGTAGTGCTCCTAGTAGTTCAGCATTCAGTATAGCAACATATGTAACCAGTTCACGATTTAGCTATGTAGTTGCTAAAAATACTGAAACAGAACCCAGAAGGAAATAAACAAAGACGTTTGAGCAGTCAGAGCAGGGACTGTTCACTAAGTTAATTTTATTATCCTCACACTACAGACCACCAAGGCTCAGAAACATCAAGCTCATCTGCCCAGGGTCTCACAGCTAGTGAGTAATGAAAAAGACTCAAACTGAGGTCCAAGAAATGCTCCTTTCCACCATGGCAGCTCAGGACAATTCAGACAGTATATTCGCTGTAGCTATTTCTTAAAACCTACCCCCTTACTTTACCCACGATTTGATTCCTCACTATAGAATTCAATGAAGGTTTGCCCAAACCTCCTCCTTTCCCAAGTGGCCTACCCACCCCAGTTGGCCATCACACAACCAAGAGGCTTGCTTTGTTCCAGCTTGCTTCCAGTCTGGCTGCACAGTTCACTGAAGTGAGCCCAACTCCACATCTTATGCTAAGAAAACTCAGTTCTGAATCCTAGTTCTGCAACTTGGTAGCTGTGTGACATTGTTCCTTCTAAATCTCTAAAATAGGGATAGTAAAAACATACTGTCCTTCCTATTCATGGGGTTGTAAACATGTAAAAAGTTATTCAAACTGTGAAGTAATATGCTAATATTAGTTCTTATCTAGTCACTGTGCAAAGGACAATTAGATTCAAAGACTTAATACATGGTAAAACATAAAACTAAAGTTGTTAGGTAAAGATTTAATTATTCATTTGAAACAGTGCTTGAAACAATTTATAAGAGCTGGAAAGCACTAGACACAGGAAATCAAGTCTAGTCCTCTGCCACAAACTGTGCACAGGACAGTAACTGAACTTTTCTAAGCCCAAGGTTTTTCATTTTTCAAATGAAGAACTGGTCTGCAGAAGGGATTATCATCCTGAGGCTTCTCCAATCAGTGTTCAGAAGCTGCTGCAAGAGGTAAGGGGGAGGCAGAAAGAACAGAAACAGAAAAGCTGGAGCATTCAAGGCCCTCTATCCCTCCACCCCAGGAAAGCTCAAATTTTCTCACTTTTTGTACACTGAGGCCTAAAACCTGTAACTGATACTCTTAATGGTGACTCTGAGTTCTTAAGGGAAAGCTCATCAGGTTCCTCACATGGCCACAACTTCCAACTCACCTACCAATGAGCTTTATTCTCAAAGTCCACTTGCAAACTGTCTAAAAAAGATCTATGGAAGACATGCCATCCTCTGGCAAATTCTCAGATCAGTATAGCAAGAGCCATGTAACTGCAGGAATTCAGAGTCATGAATCTTCTTGCCACGTATATAATGTTTCTCTGTGAAAAATGCATCCAGCTGATGAGTTCCAATGTGTTCCAATGCAGTCTTGCATATACCTCACAGAGCAGGCAAGAGCTCTGAAGTCACAGCGCTGGTTCTTAATAGATGGGCCACCATGGGGTGCCTGGGTGGCTCAGTCAGTTGAGCGTCTGACTTTGGCTCAGGTCATGATCTCACGGCTCGTGAGTTCGAGCCCCGCGTCGGGCTCTATGCTGACAGCTCAGAGCCTGGAGCCTGCTTCCGATTCTCTGTCTCCCTCTCTCTCTGCCCCTAACCCACTCACATTCTGTCTCTGTCTCTCTCAAAAATAAATAAACATTAATAGATGGGCCACCGTGGACAAATAACTTTCCCGACTTTCAAGAGAAACTCCCCGGGAAAATGCGCATAACTATAAACCTAATAATGTGATTTTTTTAAAGGATTAAATGACATAAAGTGTGTAGAATGCCTAATACATTGCACACAGTAAAAACAATAAATGTTAGGGATTTGATGATATAATAATATGTTTATAATGATGATATAAAAATGGTCTAAAATGCTGTGTCTTGCTATAATCCAACTGCTTTCCTTACTGGAATGAGCTCAAAAATATTACCAAATATTTGAAAATAAGTTTATGATTTAGCTCTGATAAGTTCAACAGTTTACATTCTAAAAGGGATTTTTGGCATCTCTGATCAGACTTTGAAATATTGCTATTACTCTGTAAAAAATAAAACTATTGAGGTTCAAGAAAATTACGTATGCAACCATATATAAACACTTTTCTAAATGGGCCTTCAATATTTTAAGAGTCATGGAAATATACTCATGAAGGTAAATTCTTCATTCAGAAAGAAAGGGATAGATGATTTCTGAGAGAATTGAGATGCTAGTCACATATAAACACTAGCTGCAGCATGCTGTAGGAAAGCTTCTTGGAATTGTCTAATTTGGGGGATTAAAAGAAAGCCTCACATAAGCACTGCTTTCTAGGACCCTGATTTATAGACTGTAACCATTCCCATGGTTGTGCTGCAAACTTCTTCAATGAGTTCTGGAACATTATGCAAAGAGTTTCACCATTTAAGATGTCAGTCCCTCAAAGAACAGAAAGATCAGTGCCATGTTTCACAATCCAAGGACTTACCAGTAAACCATAAAAGAAACTGGAGTAAAACAGTGTCGAGAACTGAGGCTGCAGAAGTCTAAGCACTGTCTTATACATATTAGCCTTTGTACTGTGATCATTTTCCCCCAAAACAGTATTGATGCAAATCTAAATTTAGAGACCATAAAAAGAGCTGTTTTCTAAGAACAGTAGATAAACACAGGTCTTCTTGTTTGTTTTAATCTGAAGCAAGTTATAAAGAAAGCAATTTATCCAACTTGATATTGGATCGTGTTTTTATCTGTTGAAGATAAAAACTCAAAATGATCTAATTAACATATAAAGCAATATCTAGTTAAAGCAAGAAGATGCATAAGAAAGATAAATATTAGGTAGTAAATAATAATTCTAAAAAATGAGACATAGACAGTACTGAAGGAGTTCAGCATTACTCCCACTTGGAAAGCACCTGAAGACAGGATATAGGCTGGACCTTAAAGGGTGGAAAAGATGGGGGAACTTGATCTTGGGGGAAGAACAAGATGGTAGAAACAACAGAGGTGGGAACTGTTGGGCAATATTTAGCATGGTATTAAGCAATTATCTAGAAATAGCTATTGCCCGACTTGCCTCTAACAAGTATCTCTTAATTCCCGACAGCTTTACCATGTGCCAATTCCTGTCAATGCCAGCTCTATAATATATCTAGAACTGACTTCATTTCTTTTATCACTACCTTAGTTTGAGTCCTTAATGCCACTTGCCTGAATGACCTTAATAATCTTCTAACTCATCGCACTGCCACCAATGTTTCCTTCCTTTCAGAAGCACAGAATGCTTTGTAAAATCCATTTTTATAATTAGGATTTAATACTTTTGTCATTCTACATTCAAATAAAAAATAGTTTGTGACTGGGGTGCCTGCATGGCTCAGTCGGTTGACTGTCCGACTCTTGCCTCGGGTAGCGATCTCATGGTCATGGAAGCCAGCCTCATGTTGGGCTCTGCGCTGACAGTGCAAGCCTGCCTGGGATTCTCTTTCCCTCTTTCTGCCCCCTGCCTCAAAATAAACAAACAAAAAAAATAGTTTGTGATTTTCTAAGTTAAAAAATATCTTCTCAACATACAGAAAAATCAGAAAATTTAACTTGCTATTAAGAACTCTGTGGGGCACCTGGGTGGCTCAGTTGGTTAAGCACCGACTTCGGCTCAGGTCATGATCTCACGGTTTGTGAGTTCGAGCCCCGTGTCGGGCTCTGTTCTGACAGCTTGGAACCTGGAGCCTGCTTCGGATTCTGTGTCTCCCTCTCTCTGCCCTTCCCCCACTTGTGCTCTGTCTCTCTCTCTCTCTCTCTCAAAAATAAAATAAACATTAAAAAAAATTTTTTTTAAACAACTCTGTGAAGCCCCACATGTATCTTTTATATATAAACATGAATCCTAAATCAGATCACTTAAATCTGTGAGGTAAAAGAAAGCTGAGCCAGCAAAGATGTCAAAAAACACACCACAAACCACATAATCAAGAGTTACTAGTTTTCTATACAGAATATCGGTCTTGGAGTTGTTTTTTTTAATCTCCACATGCGTTTTGCTTAACATTTATGTAACACAGATTTTGCTGACACTAAGAAAAATTATGCACATGCCCACTGTATACAAGATACATAAAGTTGAAGACAAAAGAGCTATAAAATTTATGTTATCACACATAAATGAGAGAATCCACATATGAATTAAATGAAAGAATTTTAATTTAAAGTACATAATTCCAAAAATAAACCAACTTGGGCTGGGTGGGAAGGATAAGTAAATAAATAAGCAATTAAACTCAGCAAATATTTGTTGCATACTGATTATATGTTTTGGCACTGTGATAAAGCACAAAGGGAGATGTGAAGATGAGTAAATCAGGAAGTTTATGTGCCCAACACATAAACACATAAAGTAACTGAATATTCTGTATGGGATGACGATGTATCAGGATTGTGCAAGTAGAAGAATGGTACAATCATATCTGCAATTTAAAAATAAAACTATTAAGTGGGAGAGAAGATGGCTATTAAAATATTGACTAAAAACAGTTCCAGTGGAAATGGAAAGAAAAACATTTTTAATATGCCCATGATTCCGCAGGTGGTCAAAATAATTCCAAAGTGACTGAAAGAACAGGAAGCTTCCTCAGATGCGTTCTTCTAAGGTTACGTGGCAGTGTAGAGTGTGGATCCCCTTATTACCTAGTTTAGTGTTCACTGTACAAGGTTAGACTTTATCATTTCTACATTAGTCCCTGGACAACAATGAAATCAATTCAATGCTTTTGAAAACTAACAGTAAGAACTACTACAAGGTCAAAACAAT